AGAGGGAGAAGCAGGCTTCCCGCAGAGCAGGGAGCCCGATGCGGGACTCGATCCCAGGACCCTGAGATCATGACCTGAGCTGAAGGCAGATGCTTAACGACTGAGCCACCCAGGCGCCCACCCAGGTCAGTTTTGACCTGTGTCACCACCAGATGTATTGAAGATGAGCTTCTTGAACTAATTCAGCACCATCTAAATGTTAAACCGTTCTAAGAGAAACAGAGTATTGAAGGCTTCTGGATAAAATAGGGATATTGGGATGCCTGGGTGGTGCAGTCCGATAAGCATCTGCCCTTGGCTCAGGTCATGATCCCAGTGTCCTGGGATCGAGTCCCGCATCAGGCTCCTTGTGTAGCGGGGAGCCTGCTTCTCTCTCTGCCTGCCGCTCCCCCCTGCCTGTGCTCTCTCTCTGACGAATAAGTAAATAAATCTAAAAAAAAAAAGATTAAAAAAATAAATTAATTAAAATAAGGATATTTCATTAGCACTTGGTAAAAGGGGGTAGAGGAGTAAGTTTTATCTCTTCTGTTAGTAAACGTCTTGAAGGCAAGAATCAGGTTCATTTGAGTTTTATTTTTCTTCTTTTTTTACTTCTTACCTGGAAATAATTTCAAACTTACAGAAAAGTTCCAAGAATAATACAAAGAACTTCCACATACCTGATACCCAGATTTATCAATTGTTAATATTTTGCCACATACCTTAGTGTGACATTCTTGTGTCAAAGTCAAGAAATTTCGTTTTGTTATGGTACTATTATATAATTCCATATTCTGTATGGCCTGTGTTCCATTTTTACCTATTGGCTCAGTAATGTCCTTTGTAGCAATGTAATTCCTAGCCTAGATCATTATTGAGTTCAGTTGTATGTCTTTTAGTCTCCTATGATCTGGAACAATCCTCTGCCTTCCTCTGTCCTTCATGACATTCATATTTTTGAGGAGTACAGCACAGATATGTTATAGACAGCTTTATATTCTTGGCACAGAATATAAACTAAGAAGTTTTTAGAAAACACTTTTTGAATATTTTTTGGGAGAGCACCTTTCTTTCAGAATGTTTAATATGGGAAAGAAGTGTGTGTGTGTGTGTGTGTGTGTGTGTGTGTGTGTGTGTGTGTTTATTTATTTATTTACTGGGGCACCTGGGTGGCTCAGTTGGCTGAGCGTCTGCCTTCAGCTCAGGGTGTGATCCCAGGGTCCTGGGATTGAGCCCATAGTTGAGCTCCCTGCTTAGTGGGGAGTCTGCTTCTTCCTCGGCCCCTCCCCCTGCTTGTGTTCTCGCTCTCTTTCTAAAATAAATGAATAATTTTTTAAAAAGATTTTATCTATTTGTTTATTTGAGAGAGTGAAAGAGAGAGAGCAAGGGAGGTTGGCGAGGGAGAGGGATCGAACCTGGAGGAGACTCCCTGCTGAGTGCAGAGCCTGGTGCAGCTGGATCCCTCAACCCTGGGATCATAGCCTGACCTGAAGTTCGATGCTTAACCAACTCAGCCACCCAGGCACCCCAAGAAGTGTGTGGATTTTTTTTTTATGATTTTATTTATTTATTCATGAAAGACAGAGAGAGAGAGAGAGAGAAAGAGAGAGGCAGAGGCAGAGGGAGAAGCAGGCTCCCTGTGGAGCAGGGAGCCTGATGTGGGACTCAATCCCAGGACCCTGGGATCATGACCCGAGCCGAAGGCAGACGCTTAACTGACTGAGCCACCCAGGCGCCCTGTGTTTTTTAATCATTCTATTCTATTCTATTTCATTCCATTTTATTTTATTTATTAAGATTTTCTTTTTAAGTAATCTCTACACCCAACATGGGCCTCAAACTCAAGAGTCACGCTCTCCACCGACTGGGCCAGCCAAGCGCCCCAGAAATGTGGGGTTTTTTTGTTTTTTTTTTTTAGAAAAAAGAACATGTGCTGTGACTTAAATTTAAATTTAGATTTAAATCCGAGTTGTGCCACTTACTAGCTCATAGCACTGGGCAAGTTACTTTATCTCACTGACTCTCAGTTTCCTCAACTTGAAAAGGGTACAGATAAAATGTTGGCCTGAAGAAATGAGATAATGTGTATACCCAGAGCGGCACATGATGTGTGTACAATGAATGGTGGCTAATAATATTCATTTCAGCATAACTTCCAAGTTGTGAGAGGATGACTGCTCTTGCCACGTTCAAGGCTTAAATACTTCTGTGGTCTGAGTCTATGGAAGGCAAATGGAGAAAAGGCCAGAATCAGAGCAAGGAAGGATGGAAATCAATTAGTTGTCACACTTTTATTCTTTCCTTGGACATTGCCTTAAGAATTCCTTGCATTTCATAGGTGTTATAGATCTTACCAAGGGTACAGGATTTTTGCTATTATATACAGGCTCTGTGGTGTTGATAGTTTGCATTGCTGTTCACTCTCCAAACTTAATAACTAAGTACAAAATGGTAATGGTCAAAGAATGATTTACAGGGACAGCTCAGTATTTGCTTGTTAGTTGTTTTATTGACGTAACTTGTGTGCTGAATTCACTGGAATGTGGCATAGTCAAATCTGGCTTCTTCCACTCCTGAGTTGGTGCAGGAAACACTTGGCAGCTGCTAAAGTGCTATTCTTTGCAGTTATTTGGTATAATTTGCCACGGAAGTAAATTCCACGAGGTAATATTCTTGCTAGGTTGTACTCTTGCATGACTGAATGAGTTTCTGCTAAGGGCCAGTAGTCTCTAACTCAAGGTGATTCTCTTGGCAGCCGAGAAGATTTCCAGCGAATTCCAGAACTTGCCATCAACCCATTGGGGGACCGGATTATCAATGCCTTCTTTCCAGAGGGGTGAGTCCCTGCAGTTGTTGGCTTCCTTTCTGAGGCAAATCTGGAATGTTATTGGTTGGGTCATTTTAAACCACGATCCTCCTGATTATATTGGGCATCCTTAACTTGGTCGTATCTAGAATATCTCTTCAAATAGGTATATGAGCCTATTTTCAAAATTCTGTCTTTAATCTCTGTTTAGCTTTAATGTAAAACTAAAATTTTTTAAAACTTTTATTTGGAAATAATTTCAAGTTTATAGAAAATTTGCTAAAATTGAAAATAATACAAAGAACTCCTGTATTTCTTTCACCTGGACGCATCTATTGTTACATCGTTAACCTTTTGCCTCATTGGCATGTGCTCTCTGTCTCCTTGTGTTCCAGCCAATGAAATTTAATCAAATCATATACAGGATTATAAATTTTCTAGTACCCACATAAAAAAAGTAAAATACAAGTTAACCCTGTCAATATATATATTTTATTTATCTAATGTATTTAAAATATTATCATTTAATATATAATCAATATATTTAAATTACTAATATATTACATTCTTTTTAATATTAAGTCTTTGAAATCTTTTGTGTAATTTACACCTACAACACCTATCAGCTGCTATAATATTAATGTAAAATATTATGTATTTTATTCTTTTTTCCTGCTTTATTGAGAAATAATTGTCATATTGTGTAAGTTTAAGGTATACAGCACAGTGGTTTTATGTATGTACATATTGTGATTATCACAGTAAGGTTAATGCATTTATCACCTTACATAGTTACTGTTTTTGTATGATGAGAAATTTTATAATCCATTCTCTTAGCAACTTTGAAATATACAACACAGTATTGTTACCTATAGTCTGTCATGCTGTACATGACATCCCCAGAACTTACTCATCTTATAACTGGAAGTTTGTACCCTTTGACCACCTTCACCTGTTTCTCCCATTGTCTATTTTATTCTAATATATCAATCATATTCCTGTTTTAATCTCCTTTATAGCACTTTCCCCCTGTCCAGTACAGAATCCAGGCTGGGTCAGTGGTCATGTTTCTTTGGCCTCCTTTAATGTGGAACATTTCCACAGCCTTTATTTTTCTTTTACAACATTGGCTAAGGATACAGTCCCCTCCACCACACACACAGTTTGTCAATAGACTTGGGTTTGTCTAATGTAGAACTAGGCTTTTGATATGCTTCACTACCTAATACACTGACTTCAGAGTACTGAGTAAATATTTATCAATTTGATTAGGTACCTTTTTCTGAATAAAGCTTTATTATGTTATATTATTTTAAGTAATCTCTTCAACAGTTTCTTCCTGGTTCCTTGTGACTTATCTGTATGACCCAAAGGACTTTAAAAAGTTCAGTGGTTGCCAATTTCTTAATAATGAGACTAAATGTCAGTGAAGATATTATCAGATAAAATGGAGAGGAAATTTTAGAACTCTAAACTGAGAGCAAAAGAATTTGCAAGTTGGGAATTTGGGCATTCAGTAAAGCTGAGTGACAGAGGGGGAAGACTAGCAGCTAGTTTGTGTGAAGATAGGAATTGAATCAAACAGACCTGCTCTCTTCAGATTCGTTTTGACCATGAGGAATCTCCTGCCCCCCATCTTCATTTTCTCCTTTTTCTCTCCGTGAACTGCCCTGTTTGTTTCAGGTGTGGTTTTTGTGCTGAAATCTTGCGTTTTTTTCCTACTTCCTCCTTAGCCCATGCAGAGCATTGACACTGTTCGGAGATAACTTACACATCTATGCTTTGTATCCAAACCTTTGCAATGAAAAGTAAACCCAGTAGAGTCATTTTGCCAACATTTTTTTCAGAATTCCGTAGTAACCATTGGTTATTAGAAAAAGCAGTTTGTGGGAAGCGGTTTTGACTGCAGTGTCGCCTGCCGTCCTATGCAATGTTCTGCTGAGGACACTAGGCAGGTGTACATGAGGCCTGCACTGGGCTACACTACTAAGCTCTCGGCAAGCTGCACTTCTGCTTCTTACTCTAATAAGATACAGATATTCAGTTTCTGGGTTTTTTGTTTCTTCTCTATCTAGTCTTATGCAAGTGGAATTTTTTTTTAATGAGATTTGAAAGTGGAGCATTGATATTTAGTTTCCTTTTACTCAGACCAATGGCAATAATATTTGTACTCATTAATCTGTTGTTCTGGCATATGACTCAAATCTTATTCCACATTACTTGATTCCTCAGATCTACTGCTCCATTAGCAACCTAGCTAACTTGAAAAACTAACAGTCATTCTTTTGAGTACAGTGGGCTCATGAGCTAGCTTTTGAAATCCACCCTTAGAAAGTCTGATGTGTGTGTCTGCCTGGCATTAAGAGACCTGACATAGCACAACGATTCAGTGGTGCAATAAAAAACTGGAATTTACTTTTAGGTAGTCACAGGAACCACGCAACTTGTTCTTTCCATGATTGCCATAGATAAATAACTATGTCACACTGGTTATTCTTCTTTGAAGTATGTTGTTCATTCAAGTTTTAGAAATATTTCTCACAGGGTTACTGATTTGCCTGTGGCACAATAGAAAGATTTTTTCTAGTCTTAAGTACCAGAAAAGGTTTATACAAGAGTCTTCCCAACATTATGATCATGAGAAATCTATCCAATTGTGAGGGGATAATAAAATCATAATAAGTAACACAATTATTTTGCAGACATTTAAAATGTTTCAAAGTGTTTATATGATTGAAGACATGCTTAAAAGTTTAAAAAAGCAGGATAGGAAATTGTGTATGCAGTATGTTCACAATTATCCAAAAAGCATAGAAAAATGAATAAAAGAAAAGATATTAACAGTAATAGTAATTGCTAGAGCTAGGAGTGGTATTTTCTTTCTACTTTCCCCCCCAAATTTCCAAAAATGTATTTATTGCTTTTATAGCAAAATATTTATTTTAAAAGCTGCATTTCCATAGTATAATTCAACCTTAAAATATCACTAGGTGTATGTGAGTGCAGGCGAAACATGAGAGGTGGGCTGGGAAGTCATTGGGTTGACAGCTAATTTTTACTGCTTGCTATAGAGTTTGAAGCAGTGATTTCAAGTGCTGGCTTGCCTGATAGTGTAGCCCTAGTGCTACTTGAAATCCCTTTTGGGAAAAGAGCTACAAGGAACTTGAGTAGGTAACTCTGCTGAGTTCTGCTACCTCTCTAAGTCTGATTAATCATTTATAATGTGGGAAAAATAATACCTACCTCACAAGGTGGGGGTGATGCTTAATGAAGGTATTTTATGAGTCCTAAAGAATTGTGCATATGGGGAAAGACCTCATTAAATGGGCTTTCAGGCCACTCTAGCTAAAACTGTTGCCAATATATTGGATTCATAAGAAAGAATCACCCTGATTGAGATGGTGTTCTGTTTATTCTGTTTCCCAATCAGAGAGGACCAGGTAAACTTCCGTGGATTCATGAGAACTTTGGCTCATTTTCGACCTATTGAGGATAACGAAAAGAGCAAAGATGTGAATGGACCAGAACCACTCAATAGCCGAAGCAACAAACTGCACTGTAAGGAGATAAAGTTTTCTGGCTTAAAATATTTGCTTTTATTTGCATTTACAAATCATTTATTTACTCATTCATTCATTGAGCAAGTATTTACAAGAGCATAGTGATTAATTATACGGACTGGGTTCGGATCCCAGCTCTGCTGCTTTTTAGCCATGTGACTTTGGGCAAATTATTTAAAATCTTTGGGCCTTGGTTTCCTCTTGTGTAAAATGGGATGTTAAGGGGTTTCGCATAAGGATGTTGTGATGATTAAATGAGTTAAAGTATGTGAAGTACCCGGCAATAAGAACTTAGCTGCTAATATTATCCTTAAAATTCATAGAATGCTTACCGTGCACCAGGCAGTGCGGTGAATGCTAGAGCAACAACAGTGAATAAGACCTAGCCCCATGTTTAAGGAAGAATGGCAGTCTCAGCTGATCTTAGAATTTGATGGATACTGGATGTGACTCAAGTAGGCTTAGACAGCTGGCTTAGTGCAAGATTTAACTTTTGTCCCCATGCCTCTTGCCTCCTTTCCTTGGCTGTTTGTTAGATTTCCCTCTGCCCTTGTTGATTCATGTATGGGATTGCCCAATCCCTTACAACGCTTCTCCAGAAATTGAAATTGAATTTCTCTTTTCATTCCAACACAAGTTGAAATGGAAATGGAAATTGTATTGCATTGATTGAGCGCAGGCTTCTGTTGCAAGAGTGCACAGTGGTATACAGAGAGGTCTTCGAAGCCACAGAATAAATGGGGCCCATCAAGTTTTTATTGGATGATTTAAAGAAAAATAAAAGGCTTTTAAATAGTGAAACAAATATAGATAACTCATAGAAAATAATGCTAGATTTACACACATTTGAAAGATGCAAGCCACCTGGCTGGCTCAGTCAGTAGAGCATGTGACTCTTGGTCTCAGAATTGTGAGTTCCAGCCCCATGTTAGGCAGAGAGATTAAAAAAAAAAAAAAAAGAAGAAGAAAGGGTGCCTGGGTGGCTCAGTCGTTAAGCGTCTGCCTTCGGCTCAGGTCATGATCCCAGGGTTCTGGAATCGAGCCCCACATCGGGCTCCCTGCTCAGCAGGAAGCCTGCTTCTCCTTCTCCCACTCCCCCTGCTTGTGTTCCCTCTCTCGCTGTCTCTCTCTGTCTGTCAAATAAATAAAATCTTTTAAAAAATAAAAAATAGTAGAAGAAGAAGAAAGATGGGTATGTGAGACTTAAACTTTTAACTTGTAGCCTTTGGGCCACATCGTCAGATCTCCCTAGCTATGGGACTATGATTTTACTCTCTTGATATTTCGGGTAAAGAGTTTCCGAAGCACTGAAATAAGTTTTGTTATATAGGACAGGGAAGATTTTTGAACCAAAATAGTAAAATACTGCTCTTCTTTAACACGATATCATGTACCTTAATGAAGAGCAGAAAACTTAAGTACAAACAAAACAATGTAGAAGAAAATAGAACTCCAATGAATTGTTCTCAAATGTATTGAATACTTTATGTTTGCTAGTGAATTCTAATTTCTTCTTTCAAGACTAAATACGACTTGAGACCAAGCCTGTTTCTCCACATGTTAAGAGTTTCAGCATATGTTTAGTACAAGTTTGCCTGATTCTGACATTAGCATAATAGAAATTTTCTTACTCAATGTTGTCAGACCAGGGCTTAAATAATAATTGAAAAAGCCAGGTAGAGCATAGAATCACAGAAGAGGATACATGGTTTAATATTTTATTTTACCTTAAAATATTTATTTAAATTCAATTAATTAACATATAATGTATTATTGGTTTCAGAGGTAGAGGTCAGTGATTCATCAGTCTTATAATACCCAGTGCTCATTACATCACATTAAGTGCCCTCCTTAATGTCCAGTTACCCCATCCTCCCCTCCAGGAACCCTCAGTTTGTTTCCTATGATTAAGAATCTCTTAAGGTTTATCTCCCTCTCTGATTTCATCTTGTTTTATTTTTTTTTCCTCTCTTCCCCTATGATCCTCTGTTTTGTTTCTTAAATTCTGCATATGAGTGAGATCATATGATAATTGCCTTTCTCTGATTGACTTATTTCACTTAGCTTGACACCCTCTAGTTCCATCCACATCGTTGCAGACGGCAAGATTTCATTTTTTTTAATTTACCTTAAAATATTTAAAAACACATTCACTGTGCAATCTTTTGGTGTGGGACTAAGAGTTTTTGGGTTTTATTTGTTTTCATAAAAGTCTGCTGATGGGAGTCGTGTAACTTTTTATACAGAGCACATTTATAATGTATAATCTGAGGTTTCTGGTTGCAGTTTCTTTTAAGTGGAAAAAGAGCTTAAAGATACTCGTAAAGCATTCCAAAAATAGAATCTTTCTGTTGTTTACATTTTTCCTCAATCTCTTACACTTATTCTGCCACACTTTATGTTAGCAGCAGGTGTTTGTTTTCTTTTTCCAGTAACTTAATTTTGAGTCTTTCAGAAGTAATCGATCTAAATTTCACGAAACAGTAACTTTGTTTTCACATACATGTTTCATTGTTTATTAATTATATATAGTTCTTATTAACAATACAAATAGCTTGTAGGGCAGTGTATACACCTGACTCTTGGTGAACATCCAATGCAGCTGGTGGAGTAGACACTTAGGTGTTGCCCATTAGCTACGAGTACGCAGTGTGCCACCACATCAGTTGGAACGATTTGCAAAGGGAGGGAGAGAATCGGTGAATCAAGTGAGTTGGTTAAGGAGAAGACCATTAAGAGACGTTCTGTGCTCTTATGAAAGCACAGAATGAAACTATGCTTGCTTTTCTAATCCAGGATTAGAGGAGACTTTAAAGGTCATCAGACCAAATCATACCTGTTACCTGAATTCCTTCTCTAGCATGGGCTCTACTTTTGAGGGTAGGGGGGACTCTACTTGTTTTTGTTTTTTTTTTTTAAGATTTTATTTATTTATTTGACAGAGACAGACACAGCGAGAGAGGGAACACAAGCAGTGGGAGTGAGAGAGGGAGAAGCAGGCTTCCTGCGGAGCATGGAGCCCGATGTGGGGCTCGATCCCAGGACCCTGGGATCATGACCTGAGCTGAAGGCAGATGCT